ATCTCCCAGCAAAAAAACTCACTTTTTCAACAAAAAAAAAAATTATTCCAAATTATTTTACATAAAATCGAAAGTTAAGATAAATACATTTAAAATATATATATATATATATAAAAAGGAGGTTGGAACTGTGTTCCACGCGAGGAACCCAGATCTGGGTCCCTGCGAGGAACCCAGTTCTGGGTTCCTCGCGTGGAACCCAGTTCGGTGAAGATGGAGAAAGAAGAGGATGGTGAAGATGGAGGGCGGTGAAGATGATGCCGAGGATGAGGGGGGAAAGAAAAAAAAAGAAAAAATGCCATTTATGTATGATAATATTATAATTTTTTATTATTTTTACTGTATACGTGGCGTCCACGTTGGATTACTAACGTTACATAGTGCCACATCAATTTTTGGGTGCCACGTAATATATTTTTTAACGGGACCGTGACGGCTTGTTAAAATATTGGGTTTTTCACGGGTTTTGAAAAGTGGAGGGTGTGAATAGGGAGGAAAAATTTTGGAAGGTGTTGACCGCGGAAAAAAAATAAATGGAGGGTGCAAATAGGGGCTTTGGCCTAAAGGAAAATCTATTGTTGAGGAATTAGATCTAGATGTAAACACTCCCACACCAGAGCAGATTAGCCATTCCATCTAGGCCTTGCAGGAGCTTATTGATAGTGATCCTCTAATATCTACAAAGTGCCAAATCAACGGGCCACCTTCCAAACAACTCAAGTTCTTTGTTGAGCACCACAATTGTTTTCTGCTCAACGCAAGTTTTAGACAAATTTCCCCATCATTTATTTAGATTTCAGCAATAGATTCTTGGCCCATGATAATAAAGTGATAACAACCAAGTCTATTAGGACATTTGTAAAAAATCACCCCATCACAATCTTAGAAAAGAAAAATGAATTATTAGCAGTGAAAGATGCTCCTATTGTATATGTTGAATAACTTCAAGGTTTGAAAGAGGAGATCTCAAACCTTGAGACTAAGCTTGCAGAGCTAAAGAAACAGATTCCCCTTGTGAAGCAGACAGAAAAGAGAATGGCAGAACAGCACAACAAACTTCTTGTAGATATGGAGGCAGAGTTGAACATAGTTTCCAAAATAAAAAATTAGCTTTCTTCTCTCACAGCCTTTATAGATGATGTCACTGAAGAACTCAAGAACATGAGGAAAGAATGGAGTGATTGGCGAAATTGCTTTTGTTAGATTTTTCTTCTATGCTTGTCTTACTTTGAACTATATTTTGCATGTTTTTGATCTTTGAACTTGATGTTTGTGATCTAGGGG